ACGATTGCATTATATAGGCAACAACTATAGCAATAGAGGATCAGGAGCATTCCAAAGAGGAGAAAAATGTGTTTACGTGTCATGCCCCAATGTTTCACGTGCTACATTGTTAGATAATTATCAACACAATTAAGGAAAGGGAACATGATAGTACCGATGAAAAATTTAAAGTTTAAGAAGTTGTTGAGGTACATGATGTAACGACCCCGAAAATTTAAAAAGAAAATGTATATAAAGAATATAAGTGCGGAAACGAAATAAAAGGTTCTAGTTAATATCTCTTACACAATAACTTAACGTACTAACGATACCGAAAATAAGTCATCTAAAGGAAAATACTGGAAATGAAATACTATAAAAGAAACTAATAAACATTTAGGTATTTACTCGCCGTCTTCTTGTAGATCAGGCTCGAGAATCAAGTCCTCCTGATCTGAAATGGTTAAGTAAGGAATAAGCTATACTAGCCCAGTAAAGACATCACACTATATCACTGTCACAGAAGTAAAGGTTGGTAGAAAATCAAAGACAACCAATGGAGCACAAGTTTCAAGTAAATTTATTTATCAATAATCATACCATTTACCATCCACTTACCTCAGTGGAATTTATAAAAACGACCAATGGAAACAATAACATCATAAATATCATGAATTCATACATAATCTGTATCATAGTACATGTCATACTTTTATATTTCAATCATCAAATAATAGTTACCCCCTTTTTATCAGCCTACTAGTATCCGTGGGGATCCATATGGGTCTCTGGTACACATGAACCATTCCTTTAACAAACTTAATTCGCAGGGCCGTCCCCATACCCCGTCCGGTATGGGCGCCAAATAATAAAACCTCAATACTCCGTTTGGTATGAGGATGAAACGCCAAAATATTGAAAGTCTTCATACCCAGTCCCGTATGAGACAACGTTCCCGATAGGGTTCCCTATGGACCCGGTCTGTTCACCATCTCCCAAGATATCTAGTAAGGCTGTCAACTTATCCATTTATCAATTCACATACATTTTCTATTTTTTCCTTAGTTTTTCGTTTCCCGCATAAACATGAATACTTAAATAAGTAACGAGCATCCAACAAAGTAAGCATATCATCGAATTCACAAAATCAAACCGTAATGAAGTAAACAGTGATTCATGCATTCAAAATCATAAAATAAATAAATCAGATATCATACTGCATTTAGACTGTAAAATAAATCAAACAGGAACTGATAGAGAAATATGTCTGATTCGGGCTCCATTAGCAACCGTAATAATTATGTATATCTATTAATTCATACGAATACAGTTTTATCATTTATTAGACTTTAACCCCGTGATAGGAAATAGGGTGAGGGGTCCTTACCTGATTCAAAGTCGAAAATCGAATTTTTTCACTACGCCTACGGGCAGTCCCTAGGTTCCCTGAAGTTTCTCTCGAGAACTGAAATGCGCTTACGGTACTTACACATATCCCAAATAACTCAAAAATCAGACCCGAGGCCTATTCAGAAAATTTTAGAATTCCGGCACGGCAGCTCCACTATGTTCCGACGACTACGCTGCTGCTTGCGGCGGCGAACCGTCTTGGGTTTACTATTTTTGAACTTTTTGGCCAAATTCGGCCAAATTTACATTGGTTCTTATGAGAAAACACTCCTAGGGCCCTCGGTGGGCCAAAAAAACACCGAAAATCGAAACTTACTGGCGGTGGGGCTTTTCGGTACGGCGACTCCTCCGGCTCGAGTCGCGATTTGGTGTTTTGCTCCGGTCAACCTGTAGAGGAAGGAACGATGGTCACAATGGTGTAAAAATTACATCGAACGAAAATCGGAAAGGGCCTCATCGGAGGTAAAAATTGAGAAAACCTGCGGCGCCACTGGGCTTCGGCGACGTTTTCCTGCCAATTGGCCAGTGTTTTGGCTCCGATTTGAC